TATATTGTGGTATTTGCTGTGGTGTGTGTGTGTGTGTGTGTGTGTGTGTGTGTGTGCAGGTGTGCGCGCGCGTGTGCGCAGGTTATGTATGTGCATAGCAGTGAATCAGGAGATGAAATGAAGCTTGTGTTGTTTTTAATTTTGTATGTATGGGTGCTCTGCCTGCATGTGTGTCTATGTACCATGTGTGTGTGCCTGGTATCCACACAGGCCAGAAGAGGGTGCTGGATTCACTGGAACTGGATTACACATAGTTGAGAGCCATCAGGTGGGTCCTGGGAATTGAACCCAGGTCCTTTGCAACAGCAGCCAATGGCCTTCCTACTTAGCCATCTCTCCAGACACGTAGGGATGAAGGAGAGGCAGGCCAGAGTTAAAGAGGAACTTCTCTGATGGGTGGGATGAAGTTTCTTTCTTTCACTTGTTCCTCGTTCCAGGAATATTTTTTGAGCACCTGCTCTTTGCTGGTAGAGGGCCAGGTGCTGGAGTTGAAGTGATGAATCAGATGACATGAGCTTCAAGGGACATTCAAGGGATGTAAGAGAATGGAAAGGTACAACTTGCATGTGGCTAAGGCTGCACTTGGAGGGCGAGCTGGCTGATGAATGGCTGCTAATGCACATTTTTGAGAGTGCTAACCGGCCTGTTCTAGTGGGGATGCTTTGGCATCTCACTAAAAGCACAATGGGGAAATTCAGAATAGTGTTTGGCCACAGTGACAAAGGAAGCAGCAGGAAGTTGTGTTGCAGGCTCTGATAAGCAGCCCAGCCCTTCAGTCTTCATTCAGAAGCTGGGGGCAGGGGTAGGGTAGGGGGCCGGGGGGTTGGAGGGTGGGGGCTGTGCTCCCAGGGCTCCGCACTGAAAGTGGAGGTCTCTCTGACTTGCCCGAGGGGTGGGACTGCAGGTGCCGCAATGGGATTGAGGAGTTGTAAGAAGGGTGATCTGTCTGGACCCAGAGACTCTTTTCCAGGAACTCATCTCAAAGACATATTCAAACAGAGGACAAAAGATTTCTGATAAGAATGGTTATTTTAGGGACTGGAGGGATGGCTTAGTGGTAAAGAGCACTGACTGTTCTTCCAGAGGACCCAGGTTCAAGTCCTAGCACCCACATGGCACTCACAGCTGTCTGTAATTCTAGTTCCAGGGGATCTGACACCCTCATACAGACATGCATGTAGGTAAAAACATCAATGCACATGAAATAAAAATAAATAAACAAAAATGATCATTTTAGGATTGTCTAAGTTGGAAATGGCTGAATATGTAAATAACTATGGTACAGTTACAAGACAGATTATGTAATTACAGTCATTAAAAGAGTTTGTGTGTGTGATTGAGAGAGAGATAGAGAGGTAGATAGAGATAGATAGATAGATAGATAGATAGATAGAATGTTTGCATGCTTCTATATGGGTGTTGGGAACTGAAACCAGGTCTCTCTAGAAGAGCGGCAGTGTCACTGCTCATAATCACTGAGTGTCTTAGTTTCTGTTCTATGATCAAGGAAACATTAAATAAAGCATTTAGGGGGAAGGAGAGTTGGCTCAGCTTTTTAGAGCACTAGTTGCTTTTGCATGGGACCCAGGTTTGATTCTTAGCACTCACATGATGGTTCATAACCACTGGTAAATCCAGATCTAGGGAACCTGACACCCTCCTCTGACCTCCAAGGGCATCAAGCACACAGGTGGTGCACATACATACATACATACACACATGCATACATGATACATATATACATGCATGCAGGCAAAACACCCACACAAATAAAATGAATAAATGTAGTTAAAAAGAAAGCATGTGCTTGGGTGCTTGATTACAGTTGTAGAGAGTTGGTCTATGGTCATGATGGTGGGGAGGATGGTGACTGGCAGGCAGGAGCAATGGCTGAGCTCACATCTGGTCTGCAAGTTGGAGGGAGAGAGAGAGAGTGAATCTGGGCCTGGTGTGGGCTTTTGAAGGCTCAAAGATCTGTTTCTGTAGAGAACTTTGACTGAGACAGCATACAAACACAAGGATGTGAGTTCTTAGTGTCGGTGTGAATAGCCAGGCACAGTGGTACAAACTTGTAATCCCAGAGTTGGGAAGGCAGAGGCAGACAGATCCCCAGGGCCACCTGGCCAGTCAGGCCAGCCTAGTGTGACTGGCAAGCCCCAGGCACATGAAAGACCTGGTCTTAAAAACCAAGGTGTGCTGGGCATGTACACCTTTAATCCCAGCACTTGGGAGGCAGAGTCAGGAGAATCTCTGTGAGTTCAAAGCTAGCCTGATGAACACAGTGAGTTCCAGGCCAGCCAAAGCTACACAGTGAGACCCTGTCTAAACAATAGGTAGACAGCTCTTGAGGAATGACACCAGAAGTTATCCTCTAGTGACACGACACATGTACATGCAGGTACACCTGCCCACATACAAACAGACACACCTACAGGAATAACACACACACACACACACACACATATACATACATGCACGCACTCACGCACACACGCACTCACCTACGTATGCACGCACATCCCCAGTGTAGGTACGAGCAAGACACCAGTTACCACAGGGCTTTCTCAGCTCAGCACAGCATAGCAGAGCGGTAGACCAAGAAACAATGTGTAGAACAGGTAAGATGGCTGTCTTCATGCTGTAGGTATCAGTGCTCTTTGCAGGTCACTCTCAAGCCCCTGGACAATATTTCTTCCTTTCCAGAGCAGCAACAGCAATATTAGAAAATAAATCGCATGCAAGTGTTCATGAGTGCAGGCATGTGATAAAGATTTACTTAAAGGTTAAAACAAGGGGCAGAGGGTCTGGATCCTCTCTGAGCAGGCTTATAATAATGTTTCTTCCTCCAACTTTACTTTTGAACACTTGCTGTTCTGTTTGGAACTGCAAACGGGAAGAGCTCTTGTAGAAGCCCTGTGAGGTTGCTGGTGGCACCCCAGAGGGAGACCGAAATCAAGGGCAGGTCAGAGGAAGAATTTCCAGAAGGTTCTGAGTGTGCTGGCTGGTCTTTGTCAGCTTGCTGTTAACCTGGACATACCTAGAAAGGACTCTTTTTTTGTGTGTGTGTGCATTAGTGTTTTAGCCTGCAAGTATGCCTGTGTGAGGTGTCAGATCCTCTGGAACTGGAGTTACGGATGCTTATAAGCTGCCATATGGGTGCTAGGAATTGAACCTGGGTCCTCTGGAAGAGTAGTCAGTTCTCTTAACTGCTGAGCCATCTCTCCAGCCCCAGGAAGACTCTTAATTGAGGAATTTCTTCCATCTGATTGGCCTGTGGGCAAATCTGTGAGACATTTTCTTGATTAATGATTGATGTGGAGGGGTGCACGGTGGGTAGATAGTTTTGGGCAGTTTAAGAAATGAAGCTGAGGGCTGGAGAGCATGGAATGAGCACAACCCCCGCCCCCAAGAAGAGAAGAGAATATCAGTTCACAAGCCCGTCACTAAGCAGCAACATAGGTACAGGACAGCTGTGTGTGTGGAGTTCTGACCCAACAACTGGCAGTTTTCATCGGCAGGCAGAATTTCCTAATTACTAACAGCAATTTATGAAATTACCATACTGAGCTTTTTTAATAATTTAAGATATTTAAAGTGGGAAGTAAAAGCTATTGCTATCGTAGTTGTTCATAAACAAATATCATATGATATTGATAGAAAAATTATACCAAAGATGTCGACCCTTAGTCCATTTAGTTTGTTATAAGAATTGGAGCACATTTTACAAATGCGTTTAATTGCAAAATTAAATAAAGCACATTTTCATCCGCTCTTGTTTCCTCCTTCCCCTCCTCATCTCCTTGTCCCTCCTCCCACTCCCCCTTCCTCTTCTCTCTTCTCCTCTTGCTCCTCCTTTAACTCATCCTATTTTTTCTTTTTCTTTTTGGACAGGGTTTTGCTACAAAGTCTAGGTTGGCTTTAAACTCAAGGTTCTCCTGCCTCAGCCTCCTTAGTTCTGGGATTATAGATGTAGACCACGATCCCTGGCTGAACAGCTTCATTAAAAAACAAAACAAACCTTTCTGTGCTCCGCTGGCCTAGAGAGCAGGTCTCTGTAGGGAAAAGGGTGCAGCCAAAGAAGCACACCCTGAACAGAGCCAAAGAAACACACTTTGGCCCTGCAACCAGAACCAAAGAAATGCACCCTGACCCTGAAACCAGTGCCAAAGAAACACACTTTTTCCCTGGAATCAGAGACAGTGAAAGAAATGCACCCTGGCCCTAAAACCAGAGCTAAAAGGCTAAAAAGGACCAGTGCAAAAAATACACTTTGGCTCTGAAACCAGAGCCAAATCTGACCCTAAACCTGTACAGAAAACTAGTCATCCTAAGCTTAGAGACTGAAATCTGACCAATGCCCACCCTGGAAAAACTTCCCCTGCTCCCAAGAAGCCTTGTATAACCCTGTGTCTGTTTAGCTTGTGGCTGTTGGAGCTACCTGGCTGTCCTCTGCCACTTTTTTTTTTTTTTTGTGGCTGTTTGAGCTGCCCGGCTGTCCTCTGCCACTATGGCAGAGGGCCGCCACTCTCCTGGATTCTTCCCTCCCAATAAATCTCTTGAATGAGGTTTCGGTGAGACCTTCTTTCACTGGAGCAGAGATGACCCTGGGTGGAGGAGAGCAGAGCAGGACTGTAACACTTCACTGGGGTAAACCTTCCCCTGGCGAACTGAAGTTGTTACACTCTCCCTGGGAATGGAGCTGAAGTGTAACAACTTCACCAGGGAGCCCTCTTCTGCATGAGCAGAGCTGATACACTAGGGAAGCCTTTCCCTGAAGCAAGGCTGTAAGCTGCTGTGCTTACTGTGACCTGTGGTATTCCTTGGCTCCTGAGTGCCAGAATACCTTTCTGTCGAAGCTGTAACACCCAGTATTCTGTGACTCCCGAATGCCAGAATATATTTCCATCCAAGCTGTAACACTCAGTATTCTTTGACTCCCGAGTGCCATAATCCATCTCTGTCCATCCCATTGGATCCGCCCAAACACTTATAGTCCCAACATGCAAAAAGAGGCCGGCGACTTTGTGGACCTGTATGTGCTGAGGAAATGCTCCACAAGCAACCGCATCATTGGTGCTAAGGACCATGCATCCATTCAGATGGGCAAGTCAGATGATTCTATTCTCCAACTGGCTAAGGCTGATGGAATTGTCTCAAAGAGCTTTTGACCAGAAGAGATGGGGGAATATTTGTCGTAAGTCAAAGTGAAAAAGAAAACAAAACAAAAACTATTATGTCTATTAGATTTTACCGTTACTTATTATATCATTGTTTCCCACATACCTTCAGGTCTGGTTTTGTTTAGAGTATAGCAATCAAAGGAGTTATCACATGTAAAGCACCTGTAGCAGTGAGGTTATACTAATTATGTCACCATGTTAGCTAGTGTTGTTTTAATCATTTATCTATCACTGGAATCATTGGCCATGTGCTTAACACACGGTCTTGATACTAACCATTATGGTTATACTAACCATTATGGTTATACTAATTATGTCACCATGTTAGCTAGTGTTGTTTTAATCATTTATCTATCACTGGAATCATTGGCCATGTGCTTAACACACGGTCTTGATACTAACCATTATGGTTATACTAACCATTATGGTTATACTAATTATGTCACCATGTTAGCTAGTGTTGTTTTAATCATTTATCTATCACTGGAATCATTGGCCATGTGCTTAACACACGGTCTTGATACTAACCATTATGGCTCACTGCACACCATCACCAGGCACACTCCACATATGATTTCATTTGATTCTTCCATATGGTGAAGAAAATTGACAACTCTGACAACAAGGAGAGGAGCCAAGACCTGCATCCGGGCTGGAGCCAAAGCCAAGCTCTCCTTTCCTTTTTCTTTGCTTCCCTCTGCCATTTTCGCCATAAGGCTCAAACATACACAAGACAGCAAGGCAGTAAGATGGGCTGACCTTGTACAGTTCAACAACGGTCTTCTTGAGGCATCTTTGTCCATCGTCACCTCAAGGTCCCCTCCAGGCTTATTTCAGAAAAACCCAGTGTGTCACTTCAGTAAAATGCCACTGTTTACTGAGGAATTGAGGTCTCTTGCATCTGAAGTGCATCCACATTATTATACCTAAAAGAAATCTATAATATCAACCAACATTTGTAGGCTTTTTAAAATTTCCCATACTGTCTCATGAGTTTAAACATTGTTTTGACTCTGACTCCTGGGATTAAAGGCGTGTGCCACCAGCGACCAGCTTAATCAGTTTTTAAATGTGGTTCTGAAGTGAAAACTAGGAACTAGAACCTTCTACTTTCAGGTCTACACTGCCCACAGGGCTCTCTCCCCAGACCCACACATATGAGCTTCTATTTATGTCACGCGTGCATAAGATGTAGATTGCTTATGATCATGATATAACTGTAATTCTGTTTGGTCTTTATAAATCTGTGAAGTGGCAGCTGCATATTTTTTTAAAGTATATTAACTTGTGTATATGGGGGTGGCTGTATACCTGTGTGCAGGTGCCTATGGACAGAAGTGGGCATTGGATCCTGTGAAGCTGGGGTTACAGGCAGTTGTAAGCTGCCCCAGAATGGGTCCTGGGAGTAAATGTGAGTCCTCTGGATGGGCAGAGAGGTCTCTAAGACATCTCTACAGCCCTCACGTATTTTTTCTATTTCTATTATATTAAAGATGCCACTGTGGTGTCAGAGAACCACATGAATTCTGGCCTTCGCTCTCTCTTCCCCAATTTATTTCATTTTATTTTATTTGACACTGAGGCCTGAACCCAGAGCTTTAAGCATGCCAGGCAAGTGCTGTACCACCAAGCAGCCTCCTTAGCCCAGTCTGCCCTTACAGTCACCATGTATCACCTCTGGTGGCATTTTTATCTAAGTTGTTCTGCTCCCAATAAAGACTCGGGAGTCGGATATTGGAGTAAAAACCTGATAGATGAAAGAAGCGGCGGAGGAGTGACCAGTTTCATCCTCTTTCCACACGCCCCAGATTGAAAAGACCTGCAAATCTTTTTCAGCCCCTCTCTGCTCCTTCCTATGCCTCTTTATTGCGTCCTGGGTCCTCCAAAGTCTCTGTGGTCAATTCTTGTTAACTAGTTGTTGGTTCCACCTCTGATCCAAGTTTAACTTTATCAACACAGTCTAGGGGTATCACGATGCAATCAAATATCACGCAACACTTTGGTGCCCTTAGCTTAAAATGATAGACTCTGAACAAATGAGTGGTTTTCCAGGTTTCCTCAAGCCATGAAGTGTAGCAAGCTTTCTTACTAGACTATCTTTGGACCCCCAGCCCACAAAAAGACGACCAGAGACTTATTAATTATGAAAGGTTGGCCTTAGCTTAGGCTTTTCCCCAACTAGTTCTTATAAATTAATTAGCCCATATTTTTAAATCTACATTCTGCCACATGGCTCAATTACTTCTTACTATGGCACATCTGACTTGTTCTGGATCTGCTGGTGAAATTGCACATTTAGATTCCTCCTTGCAGTTTCTTTCTCTCTGTCCAGAAGTCCTGCCTATTCTCTCCTGCCTACCTATTGACCATTTAGCTTTTTATTAAACTGATCAGAAGGTGCCTTAGACAGAGATACATCTTTACAAGTAATTCCGCATAGTCCTCTCCCACATAACTTTAATATATGAGGCAGATAGCAAGGGAACTATCCTGAGTGACGTAGGGGACACTTTTGAGCTCAGGCCACTCTCACGTTTTAATCCCTGACCTTCACACCTTCCCCTCAATCTCTGGATAGTCACTGAGATGTGTCCTTACAACCCTGGCTTTCAAGATAGTCAGGAAATCACTGGTAATATTTGGTGTCCTTGTCAGCTTCATCAAACTAAGAGACCTGATTGAGAAATGTCTTATTTCCACAGTGGAGTTGGAGTTCTCTTATCATTTGTGTGTGTGTGTGTGTGTGTGTGTGTGTGTGTGTGTTCCTGTGTGTGTTTATTTGTTGATGGAAGAATTAAATATCAGAATGGAAATGCTCAAGCATTCTTTGGTTGATATCTTTCTCTTTCCAAACGATAGACTTTAGCTCCCATTAGCCTGACTGTAGCAGGGAAATTATCACATCAAGATAGTAAGTCTCTTCTCTACCTGACTTCAGCACTGTTATGCTGGCCCTGGCTACTATAAACGCATGCTCCCTTCTCTGGCAGATGTTCCTCAGATTATGGCTCACTTGGCCATCAGCAGCTCTTGTGTAACATCCTGTATACCCAGGTGGCCATGAGTAGCTCTTGTGTAATATCCTGTAAGTCCAGGACAAGACTAGATAACCTTTTCTTTGAGAGTTCTACAAAATGCCCTTATACTCTACTTTACTGTCTGAGTGTGGACCACACCCCTTTAAGCCAGCCTCCATGCCTAAGGGAAGCCAGAAAACTGATCATCTTAGTCTGTCTAAACCATAGAGAGCATGGAATTGCTCAGGGAACACTGAGACTATAATACTAAAAGAATGGAAACTGTCCTCAAAGGAGGCACACTGTCCTTAGAGTGCCTACACAACTCATAAAATGCTTTAGGAAGTCAAAGGGGGAAACCATTAAAAGTTAGTGGGAAAACAGATAGAAAAAGATGCTATTCTGGGCAAACTGGGATATATGATGCCCTTAACAGAACTTCCCAGGGACATTAAATGACTTTGTCAAGCTTCATAGACTGCAGAGTCAGAGACCTAGGTGAGAGAACCCACTGTAGATTTTTGATCAAAAGGTTAATTTCAACCATCAGAAACTTGCCTCGCAGTAGCCTGTAGAGTGATTGAATAGGGTAGGCACAAAGTAGGCAGTACTTAGAAAAAGAACGTCTGATAAAATCGGAGCCAAGCAAGGGGTCATTTGTAGGGTCATGTCAGTGACCATCTGAAGCATCTTCCTGTCTTTGATGTGCTTGGGTCACCTGCAGCAGTCACCTGTCACCTCAGAGTTGGTGTGCATAGTCAATGTTTGAAAAGCATGGGTCTGCAGCACTGGGCAGCTGGGTCAGTGGGAAAAGTGCTTGCTTAGCAAGCATGAGGACCGAATCCAGATCCCCAGGACCTATGACACAAGCTGGATGTAGCAATGTGTAGTCCCAGTGCTCCAAGTTGGGGACAGGAGAAGCCAGTGGGGTTGCTGGCTGTAGTCTAGGCACTTGCTGAGCTCCAGGTTCAGGAAAGATGGGGGGTGGGAGGCTGGAGAGATGGCTCAACAGTTAAGAACACTGACTGATCTTCCAGAGGACCTGAGTTCAATTTCCAGCACCCACATGGCACCTCACAACTGTCTGTACCTCCAAGATTTGACACCCTCACACAAACATAAATGCAGGCAAAAGCAACAATGCAAATAAAATAAAAATAAATATTTTACAAATAAAAGCTAAAGATGGAAAACAATAAAGGGAGCCAGTTGGTATCAACCTCTGGCCTCTACATATGCATACAAGGGTACATGCATGACCCTCACAGGCGTATACAAACACAAAAAATACTACACCCATACACATATACCACCACCTGCCCATGCACCAGATACCACATACATTAAAATAAGTTAAAAGCAAAAAAAAAAAAAGTGTGGGTCTGAAATCATAGGGGTTTTAACTTAATCCTATAACTTATGAACCCTTTGATGTTAGACAACTTATTTAATCTTTTTGAATCAATTCTATTGCCTATAATATTGAGACTAATCATGATGCACCCTTCAGAAGTGTAGTGCAAGGATAAAAGGAGATTTTTGTCAGTTGAACGTTGTGCTGACACATGGTAATATTCACTAAATGAGCTATTTTATTGACTCTATTGTCAGCATGCATATAGAAAGGTGTACATGTCTGGCTTGCATTCCAGCGTTGTGTGTGGGAGACTCACAGCACTGCATGACCGGCTTGGTCAGATGTTCTCAGGCCAGATGTTTCTCCTCTGTAGCCAGAGCTTCTGTGGCCTGATCAGGTGACTGTAGCCTCAGCCTTACATCTGGTCACCTGGAGTGTGTCTCGGTGTGTGGCACCAGCTCTGTACTGAGGGTGTCTGTAAATGCACAGGGGGAATTTTTATAACCTCTCTGGGAGGCGTTAAACTACTGGGAAGAAAACCTTTGGGAAGCACAGGGGAAATGCAAGGGTCTAAGCCACCGTTACCAAGTCCTGGGAGCTCACGCTGCTACACT